ACAGACACGCACCCACACAACGCTGCCAAAACGTGCGCGTGTGTGTTCGGCTCTTTGGATAAAAGAGCAACAACAACAAGAACAACAAAGCGAAACTGAACAACGCACCGAGCGACCCCCCGCGCACACCTGTCTCTGCAAGCATTTTGTGGGCGGAAGTGTTGAGCCGAGAGAGGGGGCGGGGGGGGGCGTGCTGGGGCAGGGCAGGGGCAGCAGTGCGTTGGCTGCTGCTGCTGCTCAGACAGCTTATCGTTTGCGCGTTGCGCACTCTCTCCCTCTCTCTCTCTCTCGCTCACTCTGCTTAGCACACCCACTCTTTGTCAACCTTGCGCGCGCGCTCTCCCTCTCTCTCGCTCTCTCTTACTGTGCATACAACATCAAAAAGATACCTTAAAAGACGACGCACTTGGCACTAAATTATGTTATGCGCCGCACCATAAATAAACATAAATAACAACAATTACAAATAAACAATAAGACAAGCAACAATTTTGTTTTAATTGGCAGCAGACTTATAAATTATATATAATGCATTAAATAATATTGCACGCAATTGAGTTACGACTCTTGTTTTTCGTGTTTTTTTTTGGCACGCAAAATAAAAAACACAATTATAATAAAAACATAAAAGAATGCGAGATAAGTCTTCGAGTGAGCGGCAAATAAATAAAAAAAAAACCAACTAGCTGGCAACGCTGCGCGAGGATGATACGAGAGACGGCGAATTCAATTGGCAGCTGCTGATCAGCTGTAAAAAAAAAAGCAAGGAAAGAAGTTGTAGAAGAGAGCGCGCCGAGCTGAGCTTTCGACTCGCAACAGTTGCACTCCGTTTTCAACTCAAAACTCACTATTGCATTCTGCTTTGGGCACTCTTTTTTTTTTTTTTGCTCTCACTCTATTCGCTATTTGCATTTATTTTTAGCGGCTTGCCGAATATTTTCTTCTTTTCTTCGTTGTGCATAATTTTGCGCCTATTATTTGATTACTTGCGGCCGCGAAGATACATAGATTTGTAGATGTTTTCACACCTCTTTACACACACACACACACACAGACACAAACACACGGAATGATTGGGGTAAGAAGCAGAATGAGCACGCGACCGTTGATCGCTTACGTTTTAGTTTGCGTTTTTTTTATTTATTTTTGATTCGCTTCAGCGCAGAACGAAACGAAAAGGCAGACTGAAACTGAACTGAAAACGACGCGCGCATCTTGCAGATACTTTTTGATAATATATCATTTAATTTATTTAGCAGCTGCACTGCAAAACTCTGCCCGTAAGAGATTTGATTGAATTTATGCGTTGTTTATAATTGAATTTAGTTGCGTTCTCAATTGTTGTCTTTTTTTTTTGTATTTATTTCGTTTTAATATTATTTCAATTCACTTTTATTTTTCGGGCCGCTTTTGCTGTCGCGCCAACCAAACACGTCGAATATCTGTGAGATACTAAAAACGAGTTGCGCTCAAAATAGCGATGCCAGCCGCAGAGTCAAAGCAACGGCGACGGCAGCGCTGCGCTGCTTGGCGCGGCGAATTCGCCGAAAATAAACAAAGCAAAACGCTCAAAAGAACATTGAGCGCTTTTTTGGTGCTGTTGGCTGGCTTTGTGACTTTGCGTATTATTTACATTCGTGCGAGCGATTAATGAACTTCAGCTGCGCTCCGCTCAGTTGCCACGCAGCGCTCTCTTAGCGTCTATCGCGTGCGCTCTCTTTAGCTTAATCGCATTCCTCAAGCGCGCGCGCGCGTATGTGTGTGTGTGTGCGTGTGTGTAGTTTGTTGTCTTTTGTAGATTTGCTCGCCTTTTCAATTGCATTCGCATTCACAATTTACAGTTGATAGCGTTAATTTTGCTTTGGTGTTGCCAGATTTCTTATCAGTCGCTAAATTGTTTCTGTGTGTGTGTGTGTGTGACCTGGGAAATGGGCAACAGTTGCTGTTGTTGTTGTTGTTGTGGCCATGGCCGTAATTGATTGCCGCTCTCTGACTGCAGATAGAGAGGCCAATAAGTCTTCGTAAATCGTAAATAAGCACATTTTTGTCTGCCTGCAATCTGGCAGCTTTGTGAACTAACGGTGTGCCTGAACAATGGCCAACAAGTTGCCAGAAAATCAAAAAAAAATGAATGAATGTATTTGCAGTATAAAATGGAATATAGTGCATATATATTCATTTCGACTGACGCATTCGATTATGAGAAATCAAATTCTCTTCTATTAAGCGGAATTCGAGTGACTGCCTATAAAATAACCCAAGTTATCATAGAACTTGCTTATCATTTATATCAAAGCTCAAGCAAACACATGTTATCAAAGCACAGACAACAGCTGAGCAGCTGTTTAAGTTGTTGTTATTGTGTGTTGTCATGTTATTTCATTTATATGTATATTTATTTTGTCAAGCATGACTCAAAGCGCACGAATGCACCGTTAGTAAGCCAGCCAAACCAACAACAACAACAACAACAGCAGCAGCGGCGACAGCGGCAGCGGCAGCGACAGCTTTGGCTTGAAAAACGAACGCCAAGAAATTTGTTGTATGCAAGCAACAACAAAAGCTGAGCGCAAAAGCAAGAAACCGGCTTTGAGTTTGAGTGCAAAAGTAATAAAAAGCGCTCAAAAAACGCAGCCAGCTATTGCAAGCTTTTCGATAGCTTTCGAAAAGCTTGGCAAGCTTACGATATGCGCTTTGAGTGAAGTTTATCTATTGAGTGGCAGCCAGTTTTTTTTTTTGCTGCTGCTGCTTTTGCTCAATGCCAATTTGCCGGCAACACTCCGTGCGTGTGTGTGTGTGTGTGCGTGAGTCGGAAACGGAAATGCTGGCAACAGCTTGAAGAAACGTGACAGCGCCGCTTCCGCTGGCAGAGCAGCAGCAAGGCGTGTTGACAGAGCGTGCGGCACGCATTTAAGCCACTTGAGCCGCGCTTCACTGTACTCTTCACGCTTTCCATGGCCACACAAATTGGCCATAAAGTTCGGTTTTAGCCATGTTTTAGTTGTGTTTGTTTCGGTTTTGTTTACGCTTGTTTGAAATTAATTAAAACTTTATGTGATTGTTGTGCACAAGTTTTGAGTGCCCCCCACCCCCTCCCCCACTCCCCTTTCCATCACTTGACTTGCTGCTGCTGCTGCTGTTGGCCCAATTGTTTCTTTATTGATTGGCCCAAAGGCATTTTCACAGTTTTCACAGTTTTCACAGTTTTCGCAACTTTTCAGACGTTTTATGCACATTTTATGGCCCGACGCACAAAAATCTATTTCATTGAATTGCAGTCAAGTTTTGGCCACAATTTGTGGCAAGCAGCCGGCATTGTTGCCGCACACAAGACACAAAAAAAAGACTCTCTTGAAATAGTTTGACATTATTCAAGCTCAGGCAACAGGTTTTTAGCCCTTTTGTTAGCCAAGAACTGGGCACCTTTAACGTGCGTTAAATTCAACAATTTATTGCCAACTTTAGACGACAGCAAATTGTATACTTTTGGCCACTTTGCTGTGGGCCAAGCACTAAATCAACCCGCTAACTTAAGCCCATCTTTATTCAAGTTAACTCGCTCATTAATATTTTATCTGGTCACACAAATGACAACAAGAAATAACAATCAGAAATGTTGTGCTTTAAGAATTATCGACTTGTCGATACCCTGTTATTAGGCATTATGTCTATAGCCGAGTCGATCCCTCCGTATGTATAAGGATGTCAGAACCTATAAGAGAGAGACCTAGAGACTTGAGATTTGGAACGTAGATCCTCCTGGTGCCCGCGCAGTACGAGTTTGCTTTCGATAATCGATAACTTTATCCCGTTTCTAGGCAATCGATAAGTATCGATATCTTAATCTTGTTTTTTGAGCAAATCTCGTAGGTAGTCGCCAAATTTGACATGTAGATGTTAAAATACTGTTAACAAAAGAAGTATTCCTCATTTTAGGGCTACCCTTCTTTTCCCTAGTGCGATCTACATTTTGTGTTGATAAGGTTGAACAAGGTTTAGGGCATCCGCTAGTCGAGCAGTCCCGACTCTTATTTATTTTTATTACTTTTCATTTAAATATCTTTTAAACCTCTTTTCTAAAACCACTTATCTGTGAAGCTTTGCTTTAAACCACTTTTAGCTGAACCCACTTTTAATTTTTATTTTGTTTCTTTTTTGACCAAATTTTGTGGCTTCTTTCTCTAAATATATTTATTAAGTTTTCTGATATTACTTTTTGACATCCTATTTGAGCCCATTTATTTAACACTTTTTATTTAAGACCCTCTTTTGTCTTCATTGCAAAAAGTTTTCTTCTGTTAACGAATTTGTATTAATATTCTTAATTTCTTTTGTTTTGTTACTCAATTATTTTCACTCAATTATTTGTCACTTTTGATTCCGCCTTTTCATCTAATACCTTCTTTTGGAATCTTCTTTATCTATTTTCACTATTTGCTGCCAAGTTTCCTTCGGTTAGCCCTTTTTGTGAATACCCTTCTGGGCACCCTCTGTGGCTAGAGGGTATCAAAAAAAGGGCGCCGTTTAAGAGTCATTCGGCGCTGATATCCAGCTTGTGCGCTAAACTGAAACAATGCTGGCATAATGAACGCCTAAACGTGCTGCGAATTAGAGAACAAAACATGTTGGATGCCAGTGAACTTTGACCGAGCACGCAGGACGCAGAACGCAGGACGCAGGACGAGCTGTCGTTGCGAGCCAGTCATTAAATTGACAGCTCATGAATAATGTCAAATGGATAAATGTCGAATTGATAAATTGTCGCTTAAAAACTACTTAAATATGCCTAGATTTAAACTGGCACTGGAACTGGAACTAGTAATAGAACGTGAACTGGAACTGGAACTGAAACGCAGGACGAGCTGTCGTTGCGAGCCAGTCATTAAATTGACAGCTCATGAATAATGTCAAATTGATAAATTGTCGCTTAAAAACTACTAAAATATGCCTAGATTTCAACTGGAACTGGAACTAGTTATGGAACTGGAACTGAAACTTACCAATCTTGCGGCGAGCGCGCCATAGAACCGGAGGCGCGGCTTGGTTGGGCGAGGAGGCCATTTCTATATAGTTTCCTTAAAGCCGATATCTAAAAAATGTTGTTAAATAAATAATAATTATTAACAAATTATTAATCATATTAATAAAGATTGCTTAATTAACTGCGCGATCGCCCTCATATTTGGCCTTATGCAATGGGTTTTTAGAAAAACTTGGCCAAATCTTTTGTGTTCATATCCGCCAAAAAGCCCAAAGCACAAGCGTCAGCAAAAAGCAACAACAACAACAAAATACACAAATGCAAAATCATGAATGACAGCGCTGATTAATGAAGCCAGACAAAACATCATTAGGCCAATGTGCAGAGTTGGCTATAACGAACTTTATATCCAGAGTCTGCGATGGTTTTTGTTATTGTCAAAAGTTTCCCTTCATTTTGAGCTTGTTTTTCAGGTTAGTCTGGGAATTTATAGTGTATATAATATTGAAAAATACTTCTGGAGATCTATTTATATATGTTTGCAAAAGAATTTGTCCGAATTGACCTTAAATTTAAAAGAGTTTCGACCTTTATCTAGTTAAAAAAAACAGTTGATATAAGTTAGTATATGTCTGAGCGTCGAACTGGCTAAAGAGAGGTCGCTGGTTCAAATACAGCAACAAATTTCAATTGAAAGTAATAAATTCGTTTCCGTTTAATAATAAAAACTTTACATTTTTAAAGGGTATTCCAATTATGTCATAAAATGTGGCCAACTTCAACCCCGCAAGGGTATTAGATCTTCGGCGTGACGCATATAGCCTAGCTTTAGCTTAAGCAACATTACACTAACTCCTCAACATTCTTTTAAAATATGTCTTAAGCTAATGATGACTTTGGAGACTTTAATGTCTGACTAAATATTGACCTGATTCCTTTGTTTTTCCATTGAAAATTCTCATGCATAGCGCCGACTGAGACATTACACTATCGAAACGGAAAACTTCCTGTTCATATCATTCATCAAAAACACTTGAGACTCTTTCTGGAGAAAAACCCATTCGCAGCTAAAAGTTGCTCACAAATGTCATGATTCACATATCAGACTTCTAGAATAATATTTTGTATATATATATATATATATATATATATATATGCGTATGTCAATCTAACAATCTCTATGACATGCGCCTTTCGGTGGCATGCGTCATGAGAAAAAAAGTAAAAACAATAAAATGCCAGAATAAATATTTGGACGGCAAAAATTGTTGTTGAATGAAATGTTTTATTGAATGAAAACTACAAATGAAAAGCGAATCGAGACAATATTTAGATAGATATATATAGAGAGAGAGAGTGCGAGAGAGAGAGAGAGAGAGAGTGATATATAGAGAGTGTTTATCTGCCGATATGGCAAGCAATATATAGACTTGATTCTGTGCAAGAATTTGTAGGAAAAACGCGCTATTTTGCAGCTGCTTTTCTTATCAGCAACGCGCTGCTTCCTCTTCTTCATTGGCCGCCTCTTATCAGGCGCGCCAACGACCTTGACAACAAATACATATACATATATATATCTGACATTTGTTGCGCGCGCAATTATTTCAATCGATGTCCACTCAAAGTCAAATTGTGCCCCGCAAAGTCAATGAACTGGGCCAACTTGGCGAGGGGCACAGATTGCGCTTAGATTTTGTTGTTGCCGGCGGCGACAACGAAATAATAATAATAAAAAAAAGAAAGAAAGAAAGAGACACGAAACAGGCGAAAGAGTAAACGATAAGAAACACTAACAACAAAACAACGCAGCCAAATTCAATTAAACTTAATTCAAAGAAACTAATTAGAAGCAAAAAAAAACCAAGAAAAACTATTACTCAACTATGCCGCACTTTGTATACACTTGCAAATGAACGACGACAAGCAAAATAAATAATATATTACATTTTTTTATAATATTAAATATTATTATTTAATTTTTAAGCATATTAATATTTATCGAAATCAATTTAATGAAAATAAACTAATTAGAAGCGAATGATAATTAAAAAACAAGTAAGAGGTTCTAGTCGGGAGCTCCCGACTAGGGAATACCCTGAACCCTCTTCTTCCAACATCAAATGCATATATATATTCCATTTTAGAAGCTATATGTCAAGTTTGGTGACTCTAGCTCTTATTATTTACCAAAATTGCCCAAAAAATAGGTTATCGATATCGATTTTTATCGATTATTTGGAAACGAAGTAAGTTATCGATTATCGGGAACAAACTTGATCTGCGCGGGAGCTAGGAGCACCTACATCTAAAATTTCAAGTCTCTAGCTCTTATAGGTTCTGAGATCCTGGCGTTCATACATACGGACGGACGGACGAACGGACATGGCTAGAACGACTCGGCTATTGATGCTGATCAAGAATATATATACTTTATGGGGTCGGAGAAGCTTCCTTCTGCCTGTTACATACATTTGGATTTTGCACAAATACAATATACCCTTGTACCCATTTTTAATGGGTTCAGGGTATAAAAAGCCAAACTTCGTGAAAACCGGATGAAATTTGACCGAGATATGGGGGTGGTAAATTTTGACCCATGTCTAGATACGAATCTTGGGGTAAGATTTGGACATGAATTTCGACTAAAAAATCGTTGTTCAGATTTGAATGCCAGATTAATCTAGAGGGAAAACCATGAAGAAAAAGCCAAACTTCGTGAAAATCGGATGAGATTTGGCCGAGTTATGGGAGTGGTAAATTTTGACCCATGTCTATATACGAATCTTGGGGTAAGATTTGGACATGAATTTCGACTAAAAAATCGTTGTTCAGATTTGAATGCCAGATTAATCTAGAGGGAAAACCATGAAGAAAAGTCCAAACTTCGTGGAAATCGGATGAGATTTGACCGAGTTATGGGGGTAGTAAATTTTGACTCATGTCGATATACGAATCTTGGGGTAAGATTTGGACATGAATTTCGACTAAAAAATCGGTGTTCAGATTTGAATGCCAGATTAATCTAGAGGGAAAACCATGAAGAAAAGTCCAAACTTCGTGAAAATCGGATGAGATTTGGCCGAGTTATGGGGGTGGTAAATTTTGACCCATGTCTAGATACGAATCTTGGGGTAAGATTTGGACATGAATTTCGACGAAAAAATCGCTGTTCAGATTTGAATGCCAGATTAATCTAGAGGGAAAACCATGAAGAAAAAGCCAAACTTCGTGGAAATCGGATGAGATTTGACCGAGTTATGGGGGTGGTAGTTTTTGACCCATGTCTAGATACGAATCTTGGGGTAAGATTTGGACATGAATTTCGACTAAAAAATCGGTGCTCAGATTTGAATGCCGGATTAATCTAGAGGGAAAACCATGAAGAAAAAGCACAACTTCGTGGAAATCGGATGAGATTTGACCGAGTTATGGGGGTGGTAGTTTTTGACCCATGTCTAGATACGAATCTTGGGGTAAGATTTGGACATGAATTTCGACTAAAAAATCGGTGTTCAGATTTGAATGCCAGATTAATCTAGAGGGAAAACCATGAAGAAAAAGCCAAACTTCGTGAAAATCGGATGAGATTTGACCGAGTTATGGGGGTGGTAATTTTTGACCCATGTCTAGATACGAATCTTGGGGTAAGATTTGGACATGAATTTCGACTAACAAATCGGTGTTCAGATTTGAATGCCAGATTAATCTAGAGGGAAAACCATGAAGAAAAAGCCAAACTTCGTGAAAATCGGATGAGATTTGGCCGAGTTATGAGAGTGGTATATTTTGACCCATGTCTAGATACGAATCTTGGGGTAAGATTTGGACATGAATTTCGACTAAAAAATCGGTGTTCAGATTTGAATGCCAGATTAATCTAGAGGGAAAACCATGAAGAAAAAGCCAAACTTCGTGAAAATCGGATGAGATTTGGCCGAGTTATGAGGGTGGTAAATTTTGACCCATGTCTAGATACGAATCTTGGGGTAAGATTTGGACATGAATTTCGACTAAAAAATCGGTGTTCAGATTTGAATGCCAGATTAATCTAGAGGGAAAACCATGAAGAAAAAGCCAAAGTTCGTGAAAATCGGATGAGATTTGGCCGAGTTATGAGGGTGGTAAATTTTGACCCATGTCTAGATACGAATCTTGGGGTAAGATTTGGACATGAATTTCGACTAAAAAATCGGTGCTCAGATTTGAATGCCGGATTAATCTAGAGGGAAAACCATAAAGAAAAAGCACAACTTCGTGGAAATCGGATGAGATTTGACCGAGTTATGGGGGTGGTAGTTTTTGACCCATGTCTAGATACGAATCTTGGGGTAAGATTTGGACATGAATTTCGACTAAAAAATCGGTGTTCAGATTTGAATGCCAGATTAATCTATTGGGAAAACCATGAAGAAAAAGCCAAACTTCATGAAAATCGGATGAGATTTGGCCGAGTTATGAGGGTGGTAAATTTTGACCCATGTCTAGATACGAATCTTGGGGTAAGATTTGGACATGAATTTCGACTAAAAAATCGGTGCTCAGATTTGAATGCCGGATTAATCTAGAGGGAAAACCATGAAGAAAAAGCCAAACTTCGTGGAAATCGGATGAGATTTGACCGAGTTATGGGGGTGGTAAATTTTGACCCATGTCTAGATACGAATCTTGGGGTAAGATTTGGGCATGAATTTCGACTAAAAAATCGGTGTTCAGATTTGAATGCCAGATTAAGCTAGAGGGAAAACCATGAAGAAAAAGCACAACTTCGTGGAAATCGGATGAGATTTGACCGCGTTATGGGGGTGGTAGTTTTTGACCCATGTCTAGATACGAATCTTGGGGTAAGATTTGGACATGAATTTCGACTAAAAAATCGGTGCTCAGATTTGAATGCCGGATTAATCTAGAGGGAAAACCATAAAGAAAAAGCACAACTTCGTGGAAATCGGATGAGATTTGACCGAGTTATGGGGGTGGTAGTTTTTGACCCATGTCTAGATACGAATCTTGGGGTAAGATTTGGACATGAATTTCGACAAAAAAATCGGTGTTCAGATTTGAATGCCAGATTAATCTAGAGGGAAAACCATAAAGAAAAAGCACAACTT